CCGGTGTGGTCCAGCCTCTACATACCTCCCCAGCCTCATAACTCCTCTGCCTGCTCCCTTCTGTTCTGCAAAGGGAGAACTTCTCCAAAATTCCAAAATTCTCCAACACTCCAAGAACTTCTCCACCCCAGACCTTTCACACTTCCTAAAACCTGGAATACCCAATGCCTAGCACAGTGCCTGGCACATAGTAAGTAACCCCACAATAAAGAGTTATTTAATAAACGAATCAACCTTTCATTAGAGTGGTTCAATGGGGTGATAAGACTGAGATCTGGAGTTCATTATCTTTAAACGTATATGTGTATATATGTATGTGTGTATAGACAAATATATACTGTGTGTGTATTAGTATTAAAGTATATACGTATTCTACACAGAATATTCTCTACTGATAAATTTCTATTTCAGTGTGGTCCTAGCTTTATCAATCTCATTTGATGCTGGCATGCAAGTTTGTTTCGGTCTCTAAATTCAATGCTCCTTGAAAACATGAATAGTAACTTTCATATTTCCATGTCGCCAAGGACCATAGCACATACAACTTTGTGCAATGTACACAACCCTCCAGATCTCAGTAATAAACTGGGCTGAATTTCAGAGCATGTGTGTATCCATTTCAGGGGTCTCAAATGCTCCTCTGCTGCCCCCAACTCCCAAAGAGCATCAGTTGTTGCCTTTTCTTGCCTTAAGAAGGTCAGCATGGGATGGCAAGTGCTGTCAGTGCTATCTGCTACCCAATGGGTAAGAGGAATAAGCATCGTGTCCTCTGCCGTTCTGTAGCTGCCTAGCAAAGTACACCAAGGCCCACTAATGACAATTACAAACATGAGTTGGCTCTGCTTTTCCAGGATCTTCTGTGAATTTATAACAGTCTCCACAATGACCATGTGCAAACAGGGCAAGTAACCTTAGCAGTGGCCCCTGCATTTCAGTAGCTCTGACCAAAAACTTGAGCCTACGTGAGAACGTAACATTACTAAAGACATCCCAGTTTCAACTGGAAAGACATAGAACTGTTATTTTTCAGCAAGGCAAGTTTATTTACTCTCACAGGAGATAAACAAACATGGCCCCCAGGGAGAGCTTGGAACAAAATGTACTTGACCTGCAATAGATGAACCAAAAGCCTAGAGTCTGAGAACAGCTAAATTTTCTGCTCCTCTCAGCTCAAGTCATCAGACATTATCTTTCAGAGGAACAAAAGCAACTGTACAGATGTACCATATGCTGAAGGAAGGCTTGGAAGAATACAGGCAGTTTAATCAGATGAACAATACAGAGAAGGATAGGCAAGCCATCTCAAAATCTAAAGTCAGTACTACTACTGCTAAGTTAGCTTGGGGTGAGGCATTTAATTGTTCAATGTTTTCATATCCCTACCTGTGATGTTGAGAAATACCAATATGCTGAATATACTGACATTTTAATTACTGCATGCATACAAAATTTAAACCCTAAACACACATCAAAAAGTATTTTGATAATTAAGTAAAACAAAATTAAGAGTAATATTTGTCATTCAAGAGTCAACTCATATGATCATGTCCTCAAAGAGACCTTCCCTAACTCCTCGTCAAAGCTAACTACATTCTCTCTATTTCTGGTTTTTTCCTCCCAACAGTTACTACTACCTGAAATTATCATTTTTACCCAGTGTTTTTCTATTCTCTCTCTCTCAGCCATAAGAATAGCAATCTTTGCCAGTTGTACTGCTTTATCTTGCCTGGCTCAATAACTACTTGTTCAGTTCAATTACTACCGAGGTTAAAAATAATTTGAAAAGGAGGAACAAAGTTGGAAGACTACTAACACTGATTTCAAGATGTACAAAGCTGCAACAATCAAGACCATGTGGGACTGGTGTAAGGATAGACAAATAGATCAGTGGAACAGAAGAGGGAGTCCAGAAATAGACCCACATATAAAAATGAACAACTGATTTTCAACAAAGGTGCAGATTCAATAGAGACAGTCTTTTCAACAAATAGCACAAGAACTGGATATCCATATGCAAAAAAGTGAGATCATGTATCCACACCTCATGCACTATAAGAAAATTAACCCAATGTGGATCATAAACCTAAAACAATAAAACTTGTAGAAAACAAGAGAAAACATTGGAGGCTTTGGGTTAAGCAAAGATTGCTTAGAAGTGACATCAAAAGCATGATCCATTAAAAAAAATTGATTTACTTGGACTTTAACAAAGTTAAAAACCTCTGTTTCTCAAAAGAGATTGTTAAAAAAAAATGAAAAGACAAACCACAGACTAAGAGAATATATTTGCAATTCTGGTAAAGAACTTGTATCCAGAAAAGAACTCTCACGTCTCAATAATAAGAAAACAAGCAACTAAATAAAAAAGGGGGAAAATATTTGATCAAATAGACATGCCACCAAAGATGTATGGACGGCAAATAAACACATGAAAAGATGATCATTATTAGTCACCATGGAAAATACAAATTAAAACTATAAGATACTATGACACACCACTAAAGTGGCTGAAATTTTACAAAGCAACCATACCAAGTGCTGGCAGAGATGGAGAGGAACTGCAATTCTCACATGCCACTAGTGGAAATGTAAATAATATTACCTCTTTGGAAAGCAGTTTGGCAATTTCTGGAAAAGTTAAATATACAACTACTATATGATCCAGCCATTCCACTGAGAGGTATTTACCAAAGAAAATGAAAGTATATGTCCATACAAACTCTTCTATACAAACATTTAGAGCAGCTTTACTTGTGCTAGCCAAGCTCTAGAACAACCCAAATGTCTATCAACAGGTGGATAAACAGTGGTATATTCTTAACAACAGAATGTTACTAAGCAATAAAAAGTAACAAACACGACAACATGGATGAATCTCAACATAATTATGCTTAGCATAAAGAGCCACAGATAAAATTCCATTTATATAAAATTCTAGGAAATACAAACTAATGTATAGTGACAAAAAACAACGTGGTTGCCTGACAACAGGGAAGGGATTTTAAAGGACACAAGGAAACATCACAAAGGGTGATGGATATGTTCATTATCTTGATTGCGGTGATGGTTTCATTTCACAGAGTGTAAACATATATCTTAACTTACCAAATTGTACACTTCAATATGTCATTTTTTGCATGTCATTTGTACCTCGATTAAGCTAGTTAAAAATAATAAAATATACCTACAATCTGAAAAACAGTAATAAATAATTCTCAATTGTGTTACGTTCATAATCTGACTTTTCAGGTGGCACACCTTTCTTTTCCGTAACAGGTAAGTACTGGAGAAGAGGAATTACTCCCTATCAAACTGTCATCTTTCCCACTTGCTGCTTTAGCGATACCCACACTTCCCTGCTTCTGCACTAACAAGCTGGACAAAGTAGGGTCTATCACCCAGCTCCTTCCCCACCCCCAAGCCCCAGGCTTTTTGTCTCCTAAAGAAACAGATCCTTAGTCTGCAAGAGCAGACACAAGGAACAAAAGGTCCAATGACTATCTGGCAGATTAACGAATAGACAACTGTTTTATTTAAAAGTTCCCTAAAGAATTAGAACATTTGAAGCTGTATACTGTTCTACTGAAATGCCGTCACCGTTACCCAGATCTGTAAGCACATGCCAACTGGACCTGTCCAAGTCACTCCATTCCTAAGAGTTTTTAGTTGTTTTTTTTCTCCCTCTTTTCGTTCCACAAATGAATAATATGCAGGTGTATTTTTAGAAGACATTCCTAATATTTTGATAAGCCTTTCATTCAAATAACTCCAATAGCTTGAAACGGGTTTTCATATATCTAAGACAGTGACCCTAACAGGACAACAAAAGAAAAGATGAAACAATGTGTCTTATATGTGGATCCCATTTAAAGAGGAGTGATACAAAATAGCAGGATCATTATCTGAAAACAATAGGTCACACTACTGTTTAATAGCAACATTAAGCTTACAAATGATTAGCAACAGCGATAAAATAGTAACAGCAATATGGTGGTTAACAGTGGTCCTGGCTCCACCACTAATTGACTGAGTGACCTTAAGCAAGTTGCCTAACTTCTGAAACTCAGTTTACTCACGTTTAGAATGGGGATAATAGTATCTATCCTCAAAGCGTTCTGGTGAGAATTAAATGTGGTCCGCTTATAGTAATAGTTTTTTTTTTAATTGTGGCTACTAGTAGCATTACCACCCAGAACTTCCAAAGGATCTCAATAATTCACTAATCCTCTTCTGACTTGTAGGTTCAGATCCTGTCATTTACTAGCATGTAACTTCTGAGCCTCAGTTTCCACACCCGTAAAACGGGGATGATAAATGTTAATGACTTTTAAGGCTGTGGTGGAAATAACTAGAGATACAGCTCCCTTCCTTCCCATCTCCCAAAGCGAGGATCACAGAGGAAGGAAATACTTCTAATAGCTGCAGATATAGTCAGTTTTTCCATTTCTGGCACGTGAGGAGGGGGGGAAGGGGATGCAAAGAGGCATGTAAAGGGGTCACGTATCCTGAATGAATCCAAGAAAAGTCTCTCAAAAAGGAAGAGTGACCCACGGTGGCTTTGACCGTCGGGGGTCCGGCCCCGCGCACTCCCTCCCTCCCTCCCGTGTCTCAGGCCCAGGAGCCTCCCCAAGTGAGCGGGGTTATTTCGGAATCACCATGAGGCAACTCTCATGAGGCAATGGGTCAGGAATGCGGCGCCGAGCCGGGACGCTGGCGTCCGCGGCTCCCCCGGCGGCTCTACCTGCCCCCGTCCGGGCGGGCATCCCCAGGGCTGCAGGAGCCGGAACTCGAAGAGGCAGGAAATGAATGGGGATCCGCGGGGTCGGGGCGCGGTGGGGCCCAGCCCCCACCCCGGGGAGTGTCAGGAGGTTGAGAGGGAGTCGTGCCCCGCAACCCCGGGCGGGAGTCCGAAGCCCGGCCGGGCGCCCCCTCCCGGGCGGGGCTGACCGAAACGGCGGGGGCCGGGCCGAGGCCCGAGCCGGGCCAGCGGGACTCCTCACCTCCGCGATGTCATGTTCCTCCCGCCCTCCGGCTCCGCGATGGACCCGCTCCTTGCTCAGGCTCCGCTGGGCCCGGTCACATCGGGCTAACCCGAGGGAGGCCCGCTCGGGACCGGACGGGGGGCAGAGCCAGCCGGCCGCACGCAGACCCCCCCTCCAGGCCTGGGGATCCCGGAGACAGTGCAGCCGCCCCCCAGGTCCGGTTCGCTCCTCCTCCTCCCCCGCCCTCTACCGCCGGCGCCACTGTAACGTCACCCCACGCGACGCCCTCCGCCACTTCCTGCTTCCAGGCCGCCGGGAACTGAGCGGCGGCCAGTAATGGCAGCTCGGGGGCTAGGTGGAGCCAGTTCCCAAAGCACCTTTCCGTCCTCCTTTATAGTCTTTGGTTGCAGGACGTACGCTTTTGCTCAGTGTTGTACGCATTCCCATGACCCGATCACATCCGTTCCCACCGTGTCAATGTCCATCTCTGACTGCCATCTGGAATTTCATTCATTCCACTCCAAAATCGCTGTTCGACTTATTAGCCGTGTAACCTTGGAAAAGTTGCTTAATTTCTCTGAGCCTCAGTTTCCTCTATTCCTTCATTTCTGTAACATGAACATAGTAATTGTATTTTCTTCATAGGATTATTGTGAAGATTAAATATGTAAAATGCTTAGAATTAGGCCTGGCCTATTTTTTGCTTTGTAATTGTTAGCTGTGTTATCATTATAATTAAGCATCTGTTGAGTGTTTTTTCGCTGCTAGGAACTATTTTAAACTAAGGGAATACAAAAGTGAACTGAAAAGATAAAAATCTCTGTTCTTCTAGGAGGAGCTACAGTAGCCAATATAAGTAATATACTCAAGGTAGTAATCCCATCTTCCTTTCTTATCTTTTCTCCATAGCTGTTTATATTATTTAAATGAGGTAGGAGGGAAGGCGTCACCGAGGATGACATTTGAGTAAAGATATGATGCTGGAGCAGTCAGTGGGAGTCATACTGGCGGTGGTGTGGGGAATAGCTTTTCAAGCATAGGGAGAGGCAAGTGCAAAGGCCCTGAGGCAGTACACTGCCTCTGGTGTTTGAAGAACAATGAAGAGATCTCTGGCTTGAGCAAGGTAGGAGGTGGGAAGGGTGAAGGGAGAGTAGTAGGAGGTGAGGTGAGAGAGGGGTAGAGATTCTATAGTGTCCTATCAGCTATTTAAATGCACATTCAAATAGAGAGCCATTGAAAGATTCTCAGCAGAAGAGGAATTTAAGCTGTTTTAAAAGTATTACTTTGGGTACTATGTGAGGAATCGGATCAAGGGGGCAAAGCTGGAAAAAGGCTAGTTCAGTTACCAGAATATTGTAATATTCCAGGCTGGAGATGATGATGGCTCAGACCAGAGGGAGAAGGTAGAGCTTTTACCTGATGAATGCTTTTATGACTCATTAAAGGCCACAGATGTAAGTGACAGAGCTAGAATTCAAACCCACATCTATATATCTCCAAAATCCTCAGTTTTCCTCCCAATGTCCCCCATCTGACTCCTATACAAAGAACTCTTACACAGTGTGCTAACTGCTTCAGCATTGATATCACAAAAAAAATCCTTACAAAAACTGTCTTTAATGTACACCAATTTAATTTAGGCAATAGGCATTCAACAAACAGTTGCCCAGCCTGTTTCTTTCCGTCCTCTTTAAATGCTGGCCACTTAGATTACTCAAGAAACATCCTAGCTATCTTAAACCTGCAAGCTTGCCCTTTTTAATCCATTCTCCACATAAAGTAATAGCCAGAGTAATCTAAAATGCATAACTAGTCACTCTCTACATTGAATACTTCAATAGCTTCTCATTGCTTTTAGGATGAAGTAAAAAAAAAAAAAAGTACAACCACCTGGTCTGGTCTCTGCTCAATTTGCCAACTCCACTTCTCTCTACCACCCTAGTACCCGGCCACGCTGAATGACTTTCAACTCCCCTGAAAAAGCCATGCTCTCTCCCAACTAGAAGCCTTTAAATAATCTGCTCCCTCTCCCTGGAGGATTCTTTCTGACTCTTCTCCCCATGAACTCTAGTCTATGCCTCAGATCACAAACGAGAAGTTATCTCCTTTGGGCTAGGAGGATTTACCTGATTCTGCCAGTCCAACTTAGATGGTCCCCAAGACACCTGTCCTAGTTTAGAACTGAACACATTTCTTTATAAATCTAAGACATAGGATCACATGGGAGTTAAGTTTTTGATCCCCAAAGCTCAGCCTGCTTGCCTGGGCATCCAGAGGTAAGTCACCTGATGCCACTGTATTTCAGTTCCTTCTTTATAAATGGAATACTACTTACCACAGAGGGTAAGTTTTGAAGAATAAAATATTACTGATTGTGAAGTATTTAGGACAGTTCTTGGCAAACTAAACACTTGATAAATTCTGGTTATCATTTGTCTCTTTCCCAATGTAAACATAAGCTTTTTGAATACAGAAGCCTTGCTTCCCGTCATTCCTATATATTGTACACTCTGCAACTGAGACAGGGACCATAGATGTAGTCAGAGTAGGGTGAGGGCCTCCGGAGAGGGCAGGGCAGGATATTTGCAGTCAGAGCAATGTTACATGCAAGGACCCACCGCCCCCACCCCCGCTAAAACTCTATGTTAAACATTGAGCTCTAGAATCATTCTTCAGTGAAATCAGTTAATGTTCCCCAGATAAAGAAGAGTAACACATGTTTTATTATGCTAACTATTTATAATCATGTGTAAAGTTTCTTTAGCATACTAAAAAGCCCAAGCCTATGTGCTGTCTTTCTCCTTCAGATCTGATGAAGTGATTTTGCAAACAGGGCAACTAATTTAGCAAGTAAGCCCAGGCATAAACAACACAGTAAAAGGCAGGAAGGATTCCACCTTAAAGAAAAGATTCCATTTTAATACCCAAGAAGTTAAGACGTTAGAAATTCTTAACTTACTCTTTAGCAAAACAATACCTCAGCCCACCTTGGGGGCTGAGCAGGTGGCCTTGTTTCATATGCCCCTAGACCAAGATGCTAGTATCTCAGGGAGAAATCATCAGAGGAAGTTACTTGTGTTAAGTTAATTCTAAATATTCAGGGATCACTTAACAAGTTCACACCCCTAAATTTTTTAATGTTCTCGAAAAATCCTCAGCTGCCTATAAAACCCCCTTGACAACGCACCACTACGGACTCTCTTGGCCCCTCCTGGCGTGAGTCAGGAGCTCTGTCCTTTCACTGTATCTCTAAATAAAAGTCTGTACCTTGCTCTCCTAGCTTGACTGTTTGTGAAGCTCATTCTTCAGCTCCGCAAACAAGAACCCCGGCATCACAACCAGAATGAACTTTCTAGAATACAAATCTAATTATGTCGTTCTGTTCTATGAGGGGGTTCAAAGCCTTTAGCAACAAATGAAAAATCCTTCCATTAGAACAGTGAGCCCTTCTAAATATGACTATTCCTACCTGTTCAGCTTCATTTACCCCCATGCCTTCACATCATCCTACATTTTGCAAAAGCTTCTTGCTGTTGTTGGCAACCCAGTCTTCCAAAATTTAATTCCTTCTGTCTTGAACACCTTTTAAACATGTCTCTGTCTGGAAAATTAAATCACACAAGATCCAACTCCAGCTCAATCATTTTCTCCAGGAAACATTCTCTGCACACACTCTTCAACCACTTCCTGAGAATAAAATAAAGACCCTGCTCCCTATGCTTTAGGGGGTTCATTCCTGTTCATTCCTCTATCAGCCTCCAAAACAGTTGAATATCACTGTTACTTGGCTTTACTGTCTCTGCCTCTCGATTATGAGCTCCTTTTAAAACAAAGTCATTATCTTTTTCATCTTTATATGCCTGCAGCCTAGCACAGTGTCTGTCTGTGAACATGCATAAGAGATATTCGTTTAAAAATATAATTTCCTTCTCAACTACAAAAGCAATACAAATTCCTTGCAACAAGCCAAATAAAAACAGTAATTGTCCCTGCTCCTCAATGTATATATTTCTATTCTACGCCCCACTGGGGTTAATAGTTTGGTGTATTTCCTTCCATACTTTGCTCTATACGTATAGAAACACACACAAACATCCCACAGCTACACTTGGTCACATATGTAACATATAGGGATTCATTTATATTTTATTCTTTAAATGGGTTTTATATATATACACACATGGGTTCATAATATATGTTTGTTATACATATATGTACATGTTCAATATACACATGTATAAAATCACAAAGATGTAAATATGTCTTTGATGTAACATTTTCCTCTTAATATACAATGAACATCTCCCTAGACTAGAAGTGACATCCAATCATCTAGACCAGAACTGATTGTCCGATACAAATATAATCTGAGACACATATGTAATATTAAAGGTTCTAGTATTTATACTTAAAAATGTTAAAAGAAACAGATGAAAATGTGAACAATATGTTTAACCTAATATATCAAAATATTGACACTCAAAATATCAATAAATATAAAAAATTATTAAAATATATTTACATTCTTTTTCTTACTAACCCTTTGAAGTCCAGTGTGTATTTTAAAATTATGGTGCATCTCAATGTATTGAGTCAATGAGTATATCACTACTTTGACCTTAGCATTAACACTCAGGGAGGTATTCCTAATATTGTCAACATCATCCCCATTTTATAAGAAAGAAAATTCATGTGCTGAGGTTTGTCATAAGATCATATAGCAAGTGATCCCGGGTTATAAAGTCAGTACCCTTTCTGCAGCACAACTGCCTGCTGGTTTTCTGTCTTTCTGTGGCACAAAGAGGTATGTTTCAATGTAAGTGTATATGTGTATTTAAGAGTGCTTTACCTATGGCAAGACCAGGTGCTTATGAATAATGTGTACTTTATAACTAATATAATGTTGATATTATACCCAGGTAAAGAATGGTAAGTCTTGCAATGCCAGGACAAAACACCAGAGGGGGTTCATTTATGTTTGTACTTCAATGGCAGGTCTTGTAACAAGTATTTAGGGGCATTTTTTAGGTGAAAGTCTCTGAGATTGTCAGAATTTTCAAGGAGTTCAAGTAAACAATTCTACACTTCATTCATCCTGATATATTTTCTGAAGTAGCAGTTTCTAAGAGTTGCTTTGCTCAGGAACCTGAACAAATAAAGCTGCTGACATTTCCATTCTTTAAAAAGAGCAGTGCCCAAGCTTTTTCTTGAGAATATGACATGCCTGGACAGTGAATAATCCTAAAACTGGCACAAAGACCAGCTTTTAGAATCACACCCATCGTTAAGCTGTATGGAAGCCCGACACGTTTAGAAGCCACATGTTTCAGCAGGCACAGCAACTCTGCATTCACTGCAGTCTGACAGGTTCTGAAATCTCTCAGGCCTTCAGAGGCATTGGACCACTAAATTTTTGTCTTTGATCAACTAGAGCCTTGATTCCCAGGGACAGCCACAAAGCACTTGGTTTGGATCTGAAGAAAATCGAGTTTTAAAAGCTCTAGCCAGAAGCAACAAGCAAGGGGCAGAGAATGGAAAACTCAAGCCTAAGGTGTCCCACCATGTGTACATGTTACCGTAAGGGCTTTGATGCAGTAAAAAATTACAAGATATACTGTGCTATTTATTTTGCAAAAGATAATAACTGTTCTTATGTTTAATTCTAACACACACAAAGAATGCTCTTATTCATCATATTAATCATCTCCTTGATCTTTGCAGATTAATGGTTAAGAGGGCAATCTTAGAAATCAGATCCTGTTGTCAACAAGTTACTTAACTAACCTCTTTGAGCCCCAGATTCCTCCTAATAGCATCCTTCATAGGTTGTTGAGAGGATTAAGCGAGATAAAGCAAGGCTCATAACATAATTCTAGATGCAGAGCACACAATATTGTTCTTCTTATCCTTGGTGCATCACCTTAGCAGCATACTTGACACATAATAGGATCTCATCAATAACTGTGATGATGATGACCATGGTGCTGGTGGAGGTAGTGGCAATGGTGATAGTAACAGTGACTCACATTTATGTAGTACTCACCATGCATCAAATATTGTTCTTAATGATTTTGTGTAATTAACTTATTTAATTTTCCTGACAACCCTGAAGTAGGTACTATTAGTTATCCTCATTTTAAAAATGAAGAAACTTGAGTACAAAGTGGCCAGAAATGCATGTACAAGGGATGAACAACCATGCTCTTATATGCCTCCATGCCTCTTGCATTTACTGCTTCAATTGTCACCTTCATCTGCCAAATTTGTATTTATTCTTCCAAATCCAGCACAAAAACCAACTTTTCTGCAAAATGTTCCTAAATCACCCGGAAGAAATAATTCATACTAATCTTTCCATTTGTGTTTCCCTTGAAACACAATGGAAGCAGTAATATATATTTTATGGACTTTAAATTCCACCTTTTCTAATCCTCCACCACTTAGCATAGGCTGGTTAGGGGATTTAGGCATTCAGCCAGCTATGGAGAAAATGTCTGTGGAAGGTTCCCAACTAGCCATTCATAGGACAGATTTCACTTGGGGATTTGGTTTCATCCGTCTGTCCGTTCTTACATTGAAAATGATCCTTTTTTCTAAGCAAAATAGAAAGCTGCAACTTTACGTGGGTTCCCAAAGTACTTTGAGACTTTTAATGGTCTATAAAATGAACATTTTCAGAAAAAATATTTTAGCTTCTTATTAGGAAAAAAATAGTTTTTCATACAGCGCGGTCAAAGGAGGGAGAAACTACATTTTCCATGATGCCCCATATCCGGAAGGAAGTGAGGCTCGACACCTCCTGTGATTGCTTAAAGACCGGAAGCCAGGGTCTTAGTTCTCTTTCCCATCTTGCAAGGTAAGAATGGTGCGGCCTCTGTGCGACACTCGATTTCAGGACCCCAATCTTTCGCCATCCGAACCAGGAGGGTATCAAGTCGACATCTGCAGGGGTCAGACAAGCTCGGGGCCTACTGAAAAGCCTCCTGGACGTTGAATTTCTCTCGCTTGGGTTTGCGGTGGGGCACGAAGAGGTTGAGGTGGAACAACGTAGAGCGTCCCGGGATCCGGCCGCTCGCTACCTTCCTGAACGTTGGGGCACGGGGCCTCCCCGGGGATCCGTAGCGGAGCAGTGGGGCCGCAAAGACCAGGGCGACTGCGGGCGCTCCGGAATCCCGAACTCGGTGTTAAGAAGACGCCGCGGAGCTTGTCGGAGCCACGCTGGGATTTGAAGCCGAGGCCAAATGCTACTGTCTCCATACGTCCGCGACCGGAAGTCGCCTCTTGGGCTTTGCATCCTTTTTCAGTTTGGCCTGAGTTTGGGTTAATTGTGTAAATGTCTTAGCCGTTTAGGCCGAATTTCATGAATACGTTTGAAAAGAGCAAAAGCGCCGAAAGCAAAGGATTGCAGGTTTCAGCTTTGTTGTTGCTTCAGCTTGTGGAAATTTGTTAAGGCTCTGTGCCTAAGATTTCTAATTCGCAAGAAAATGCAATAGGGACTTGACTGTTCATTGTTTAGCCAACACCTAGCAGGTTTAAGAGACCTTCCAAATCCTCAAAAAGTTTATAGTATACTGGGATGACAACCCCAAAGTTAACCATTACAAGGATTGTTGCAGATGTGTGGGGTTTTGGAGGAAGGCCTCTATCTTATTGGGGGAGGAAAAAAAGGGTGCTGTAGCTGTTTGATGGGGGAAGGGAGCGCGTGTCTGGGAAGCCTATCAACTGTGGCATAATTGACAGTATGGAATAATTGATGAAATGTCTTTTCTTTTTAATCTGTGTATTGGTAGATGGCGGGTGAAAAAGCTGAGAAGCCTAATGCAAAGGAGAAGAAACCTGAAGCCAAGAAGGCTGATGCTGGTAGCAAGGTTAAGAAGGGTAACCTCAAGGCCAAGACGCCTAAGAAGGGGAAGCCCCACTGTAGCCGAAACCCTGTCCTAGTCAGAGGAATTGGCAGGTATTCGCGATCCGCTATGTACTCGAGAAAAGCTATGTACAAGAGGAAGTATTCAGCAGCTAAATCCAGGGTAAGGGATGAAGGGACCCACTGACCATTGATGTCCTAATCTTAAAATTTTTGTCCAATTCTGACTTCTTGATGCTTTTGTGTCCTGTTAGATTGAAAAGAAAAAGAAGGAGAAGGTTCTTGCTACTGTCACAAAACCAGTTGGTGGTGACAAGAATGGTGGTACCCGAGTGGTTAAACTTCGCAAAATGGTAAGATTTGGAGGAGATGGTAAATAGATGGTTAGAGGAAGTTTGTGTACCAGGAGGATTTTTGGTGTGTGCTCAGGTTTTAGAAATTTAATGTTTACCAGAGAATGGTTAATGGAATATAATGGGGTATGGGTTTGCAGCTTGGCTTTAATTTAATGTACTGGTATGATCTTCAGTAGTTACTTCTCTGTGTTTTCATATAAAACAGGAGTAAAGGTTTGTCTCGGGTTTGTCGTCACGCTACATAGGGTGATACACAGAGCCTAGGGCGCTGCTTGGCATAGAGAACATTTATCCACTAGAGCAGGTTCTCAGCTCCTCATTTCCACGCACAAGGCCCAACATTTTCTCAAGGTTTTCTCTGTAATTTCCATCACAGAAATATTCCCAGATGTATTACAGTCTCCACAATTGAAAATTTGGAGGGAAACCACAATAGAGGGAAAATAGCACATGGATTCCTCTTGTCACAGGTTTTGTGAGCTGGTTTTTGTATTAGGTGCAGGCATATTGTTTCTTGCATTTTGCAGGTACTGCGTTTTTTTACAAATTGAAGGTTTGTGGCAACTTTGCATCGAGCAAGTCTGTCCGTACTATTTTTCCAATAGCATTTGCTTACTTTGTGGCCCTGTCATGTTGTCATTCTTGGAATATTTCAGTTTTTTTTCAGTATTACATTGGTTATGGTGATCTGTGATCAGTGATTACCACCCTGAAAGCTCAGGTGGGGGTTAGCATTTTTGAGCAGTAAAGTTTTTATTTTGAATTAAGGTATGTCCATTGTTTTTTAAGATATAATGCTATTGCACACTTAATAGACTGCAGTACAGTGTAAACACAACTTCACATGCACTGGGAAGCCAAAAAATTCATTTGACTCACTTTATTGTGGTGAGAACTGAGTAGCATTATCGAAGGTATGCTTTTATTAATGTTTGATAAAAGCAAGACTGCACTAAAATGGTACGCCGTAGTTAGAAACAGGTTATTGTGAGTTACTTGCCACATCTTTAATAGTCTTGGTGTGGGGTCTTTTATAATAAATGAACTGGCAGTCCTCATCTGAACTAATGGGTGGTTTTGTACAGTTTGTTTTCCTTTGTGGATAAAATGGGAGTGATGCATGTTAATGTGAAGGATATGAGCACGCTTAATTTGAATTGGAAAACAAGCCATGCCTTCTTCATAATATGCAAAATGTGTGTCACACATAATGTTTTTCTGGAGAAGTTACTTACATTATTAGAGGTCTGGAGCCCCAGAAAAGCTTAAGAACCGCTGCTACACAACAGTGATGATAGCTTGCCTTGTAATCCCTCAAGTTTGGTTTAATCCCAGATTTACAGAGGTAACTTAAGCTTCATGTTTTCCATTTGCTTGAACACAGACCTCCTACAGTTAAATGGGTCCCATACTAAGTTTTGCATGTAAAGGATGAGAAGCAATTTTTTTAAGGTTTCATTGATATACACTGTTATGAAGGTTTCACATGAAAAACCATGTGGTTACTACATTCACCCAAATCATCAAGTCTCCCCCATACCCCATTGAAGTCACTGTCCATCAGTGTAGTAAGATGCTAGTCACTACTTGTCTGGATGAGGAACAGTGTTAACCTTTTCCAGATTTAAAATCTACTTAGAAGAAAGTAAAATGCAATAGTGTAAATAAATAAAGCATTTCAAATAAGACATAATGAGGGTTTTGCTGACATAGAGCCAGCTCTACTAAATCTGATTTGTTTATTTAAATAAGTTGGACCTGTGGACTCTTTCCAGCCTAGATATTATCCTACTGAAGATGTGCCTCGGAAACTGTTGAGCCATGGCAAAAAACCCTTCAGTCAGCATGTGAGAAAACTGCGAGCCAGCATCACTCCTGGGACCATTCTGATCATCCTTACTGGGCGCCACAGAGGCAAGGTGAGCAGAGCACCTCAGCCTGTGGAGCTTCACCTCTTGTACCTGAGGTGCTTGACCATATGTGTTTGCACTGTTGTGGGATTTCTGTATTTACCTATGTTAACTGCATTTGTGGGGAGGAGGCAGATAGGCCTTCCAACAGTACGAACAACAAAGTCACTAGCAGAACATGTTTAGTCCATGACATACCGTAGTAAGTTCCTGCTGTTGGTATATTACGTGTTACAGATGATTCAGATGTCCCCATAACCAAATATGTTTGTAAGTTTGAGTTACTTAGGATAGATTTGCAGGGATGGGATTACTAAAGATACAACTTCCTTTATTAAAAATAATGGCTGTTCAGTAAAACACACACTCGCAAAAGTACTGCTTATATCCTAGGGTCAGCCCTGTTAGTAACTTGGTATAGTTGCTTGCAGATCTGCTGTGCATATACATAGGAACAATTCTCCTTTAGCAAATTTAGAAACCTGTGGTTTGACTAATTTAGATGTCAGTTACTAATAGCAGAACCATCTATCATTTCTGTTTAATTCACAGAGGGTTGTTTTCCTGAAACAGTTGAGCAGTGGCTTGCTACTTGTGACTGGTAAGAAAACCCTTGGATTTTATATTCTCTGAAGCTTGTTTTTTTTAAATGCTTGAAGTATACACTTTTCTCACCTTCATGGATGTTTCAGTGCCATGTGATTCTGTGTCCTGTTTGGTTGCCTTATGTACATGAGCTCTAAGGAAGCAGGTATTTAAGTTTTGTGTGACAATATATCTCCAAGTAACTGCCATGTAAAATGCGAAACAGTTGGCTCATAGCCCCAAGGAATGCATCCTGCATAAGACTTGCCATTGGTCTGCCACTTAGCACCAGGGCTGAGTTCCTGAGTGGGTAAAGAGTAAACTGTTCACTCTGGAAAGCAGCGCTCAGTTCAATTTGTCACCAGGGATCTGTCGTGTTGACCAGCCTGTCTGTAAAGTGACTTGTTTTCTCCCAAACTGAGGGACTTACGAGTTGAGGTGGAAAAACCTTGGACAAACAAAACTGAGGACTTGAAAAAGTTTTGTTGCTGGCAATAGAAAGAGCAGTCTGGAATTTCTTCAGATCCCGAGAAAAAATTAGAAATTCAATTCAGCAGGTTTCTCCAAAGGTAAAGTCAGTTATTTAAGTCTTTGGTTCCCATTTCCTTCACTATATTGACTTTCTTTTCCTTAGGACCTCTGATCCTCAATCGAGTTCCTCTGCGTAGAACACATCAGAAATTTGTCATCGCCACCTCCACCAAAATTGATATCAGTGGTGTGAAAATCCCCAAACACCTCACTGACACCTACTTCAAGAAGAAGAAGCTGCGTAAGCCCAGGCACCAGGAGGGTGAGATCTTTGACACCGAGAAAGAGGTAAGCTTCCATTTCTGTCTTTGCCACTCTCTGGCTCCCCAAGTCGGGAGTGAAAATATACAAGGTTAAGAATCGTTAAGAAGAAAAGCAAAAGTTGGAAATAATGAGGACTGTCTGGGAAATAATGTTCTAGAATCTGCTAAATTGAGTAGCTCCTAATACTAGCAGGGTGCTCTGCTCAGAATCCTCAGTTTGGTGGAGCTCTGAATTAACTGCTACTGTCTGCTGGGTATTTACCCTTAATTTATCTTTGAAGTATAGTAAAATAGACCAAAGATAAGAGCTGATACTTGGTTACAGTAAAAACAGATTATATTTCATAGCCCTCCTGAGAAAAGGATTTGTCAAATTTGGCTTCTAATAGTAATCGCCTTCTGACTATTCCTGGCATTGATTACTTGTGAGACAGGATTCCTTAGTTGACTGTGGAGTTTGGTACTTGTGCCTTACTTTGAAATGATTTTTTCTTTCTTTAGAAATACGAGCTTACAGAACAGCGCAAGGTCGATCAGAAAGCTGTGGACTCACAAATTCTGCCAAAAATTAAAGCTGTTCCTCAGCTCCAGGGCTACCTCCGCTCTGTGTTTGCTCTCACAAATGGAGTTTATCCTCACAAATTGGTGTTCTAAATTTCTTTCAAAGAACCTAATTAAATAACTGATCCATTTCCTTTCTGTCTTTTTTATTGTTACTTGCCTGGAGGTGTGATTTTTCTCAGTTTAATGGTTTTTGCCTCTTCTAAGAAGTAGGATTGAGGGGGCTGCTGGTTTCTGCTACAGTGGAGCCTCCTACATCTGCTTTTGGTCAGCAATCTTAGCTTCCTTCCTATCTGGCTCTTTCGCCTACTCAGGTTTTTCACCAGCAACCACCAATAGAAAATAACATTTACCCAGACATCACCAAGCAAGGCAGTACTGTATGTGGATAAGAAACAACTGGGCTCTTGAGGCCAGTCTTTTCTCCCTTTCAGTGACTTGGTGTTCCTTCTCTGCCCAGTTCTCAGCCTCTCCTCCATGATCATTGCTCTAGGTTTCTTGTATATCTAATTTCTTGAAATGCAGCAAATGAGTCTTAACTACCGTCTTTTTTTTTTAACCCAAAACCTAAATACCATACATGCGCAGAAGACAGTTGATTTTGATCATTCATAGAAAGTGTCCATTGTTACTGTTGCATAGTGGAGTATTCCGTTCTGTGGATAGTGGGGTTTCCATCGTTTGTAATACAGTGATAGTAAATAACCTCAAGTACAGATGGGCAAGTATCAGGTTCAAAAAAATTTTTGCTGAGCCCAAAGATGTATGTGTTTTAATTTTAGTAGATGGTACTGAACTGCCATCTTTAAAGTAGCTTTTATTGACAAGTAATTTACATTTGGTGAAACTGCTGGTTTTGAGTGTGCAGTTCTGAGACAGTTTGGTAAGCACCCCAACACTGACGTTCCCTCGCAGGTGTTCCTTCAGTCCACTCCTGCTCCATGCAACCATTGGCCAAATTTCTGTTCCTGTAGTTTGTCTTTTCTGCAAGTCATATAACATGGTTAGCGTATCTGGTGTGCATTCATGTTCATGGCTTAGTTTTTCTAGTTGTCAATTAGTATTCCACTGTATGAATGTATCACTACTCTAAAATTTCACAATTTATTGGAGATTTTGAATAAAGCCACTATACATGTTTGCATGCGGGTTCTTGTGTGGGTGGGTGTGTTTTCATTTTCTTGGGTTTACTAGCACAATTGCCAGTTTGGATGGTAAGCTCATACTTGACTAAGAAACTGCTCTTCATACCCCACTGGCTATGTGAGACAGTTCAGTTACTCCATTTCCTTCTCAGACCTTGGTATTTGCAGTAGCCTTTTTTTTTTTTAGATACAATTATTAGTCCCAAGTGAACAACAGGATGATTGATATTTGTATGTACTGTGAAATGATCACAATAAGTTAATGTCCATCAACTGAAATATTTTTCCCTTGTGATGAGAATATACCCTTAGCAACTTTTAAATGTACCATAGGTACTATTAACTGTAGTCACCATGCTGTATATTACAATCCCATGATTATCTTTTCAATTCTAGCTGCTCCAATGGATGTTTAGTAATAGGTATATAGTGATTGGCTCTGATGCACTTAGAAACATCCAAACACATCACTTGATGGCAATAGCCCTTTAGTAGCTCCATACCACTCTTAGATTCAGTTTTGAGGTTGTCAATGCACAAGGCCCTCTGGCCCATTCTCCATCCTACTGTTCTCCACTTTCCCCCTCCCCATATTTTCTTTTAGTTCCTCAAGTTGGCCTGTTTTTTCCTGCTTCAGAGCTTTTGCAGATTTGTTGGACTGCCCTTCCCACCATGTGACAGGCCCTTACTGTGTTAATGAAATAGTAATGATAATTTGACTACCCAGGAGCAAGAGAAGCTACTCAGGCCAGTGCAAGCATCCTGTCCACTTGACGGATGTATTTATCATGATATAGAAAGGTAAGGTTTTGTGGTTTACCAGTGCCTGAACTGAGCTGGAACTATCTTCAATGTGTTGAAAAACATGGTTTGTGTTTCCCTCAGACTCACACCAGTTCTCAGGTGATGTGCAAGGTTGTTGCCTTCTGCAACTGGAGGGTCCATCAGTAGGGGATCAGTTTATGTCATGCTTTGGAGTATAATGTGTTATAAAGAACAAAGCTACATAACTGAAGAGACCTGCATGTCCAGTAGAAAGAGCAAGTTGGAGACAACCAAATGGAGTATAAAGTCCTGATTAGATCCTGATTTGGACAAACCACTTAAAGAGTCTTGGGACAAATAGGGAAATTGAATGTGGCCTGGCCACCAAGATAAAAATTCATACAGGGGGTAAATATTAACTGAAAAGTTTAAAAATGCAAAGTATCTCATTTTGATTTTAAAAATTGGTCTCCCAAAATAACCACAAAAAGTCTACCTATTCCTGAACACTAAGGCAGTGATTCTAAAACATTTTTGGTCTCAGGAGTGTTTTATGGTCTTAAATTATTAAGGATATAAAAAAGCTTTTTGTTTATGTGAGTTATGTCTTGATATTTACTAGATTAAGATTCAGAAGTTATTAAAATATTTTAAAATGACAAGAAACCATTCCATGTTAATACAACATTTTCATGAAAAGTTATTTTCCAAAATGAAAATTTAGGAGAATAACATTGTTTTACATTTTTGCAAATCTCTTAATGTCTGGCTTAGTAGAAGTCAGCTGGCTTTTCATGTTTGCTTTTATGTTCAATCTGTTGCAATATCACATATTATGAACTACAGCCTCTGGAAACTGTTGACTCTTGAGAGAATGAGAGGAAAAAAACACTATTTTAGCAGCCGCACAGGAAAGGATCTGAGGGTCATACTTAGACCTGCTGCTCTAGCCCCTTTATAATCTCCTACTGTCCGCCTATGAGATGACCTCCTTTCCAGTTCCCCTGGTCCCTACACCTCTGATGCATGTGGGCAATGTGGAAGGTAGGCCTGCTCATGGATGAGGCTGGGAACCCCAAGCCTGAGGTCCCACTTCCTTGGTGTCCCCAAGCCTCCTATATGGGTTTCCTGTTGCTGGTGCAACAAATGACCACAAATTTTGTGTCTTAAAAGGTAAAATACATTCTCTGACAGCTCTGGAGGTCAGAAGTACCATCAATTTCAGTGAGCCGAGGTCAGCCTGTTGGCAGTGAGTGGCACCTGTATACCTTGCCTTGCAGCCCCTTTCCGCTTAAGTGCACCACTCTGCATGCTTCTGTCATCACATCCCCTGCCTGATCCCAGATCTCTCATAAGGACCACTGTGATTATGTCCCACCTGGATGAACCAGGATAATCTCCTTATTAAGATGGGTTTCTACCTACAACACTTCTGGCACCAAAATGTGTGGGTTTCTCATACCAGGCAATTCTCTACATTTCTCCTATACCATCTGGCTCTCCTACAATTTTATTCAATTCCAATACTACCTGGACTTAGTGCAGACCTCCCAGGTTAAGGCCTTGGTCCCACAAGACAGCCCCCCTACTTAAGATGCCTATATCATGAGCGGTGGGTCCCAGGTGACCCACATTCTTGTCTGACCTGGTTGCAAACTGGGAAGTCCTGTGACTCCCTCCTTAGGTTGATAATTTGCCATGATGACTCAGGGGAACCTTTACTTAATTTCCAGTTTATTATAAAGGATACAGCTTAGGAACAGCCAAATAGAAGAGCTATACAGGGCAAGTCACCATGGGTGGGGAGCACGGAGCTCCCATGCCATCTTGAAGTGCATGCACACCCCCTCCCCAACCAGCACCTAAATGTGTTCACCAGGAGAAGTTCATTAAATCTGTTCAAGACTTTTTATAGAGCTTAATCTCCAGCCCGACCCCCTTTCCCTTTATGTCTGAATGGGGTTGAAAGTTCCAGCCCTCTAATCACTTGGGCTTGCTGGTGACCAGCCCCATCCTGAGGCTAAGGGTCTCATCCTAAATCACCTCATTAGCATAAACTCAGGTGTGATGGAAGGGAGCTCCTATGAATAACAAGACCCTCCTAACAGGAAATGCTGTTTGTTTTAGGAGCTCCCTACCAAGAACCAGGGACCAAGACCAAATACATTTTTGTGTTATACCAGATTTTCCATCTCAAGATCTTTAACTTAATCACACCTACCAAGTCTCTTTTACCATATATTATTATTATTCCAAAATATTTGAGTGCAGGTTGGTTGAAAGTGGTGTAGTGTTAAGTTACAGTGTTGGGGATTGGATGGACTTGGATTTAAATCTTGGCTTTGCTGCTTATTCATTTACTTTTCAGATGATTGATGTAATAATGGTAAATGCTAAGGTCCTGACTTGTGCCAAGCAATTAAAGTATATACTTTAAAAAAAATATTTTGTTGTGGTAAGATATATCTTAAGCATTTTGAACATTTTCAACTGAACAGTTCAGTGGCATTAAGTACATTCACGTTGTTGTGCAACCATCACCACCATCCATCTCCATATGTTTAATTTTTTGAGGAACCATGTCTCACCTGAGGGGAATTGCCCTGGGCAAGTTAACTCTGGATTCCTTGAGACTGAGTAACAACAACTGAAGGTTAGGGGTAAAGGGTTTATACCAAGCTTTATTCTCTGGTTGGAAGGTTGACTGCTGGAATCATGTCTGCCTCTGGGGCGTTTGCAATCTATCCAGTCTCTGCCTCCGGGAAGAGCACCGGGCAGAGCTCTTTATGTAGTAACACCAACAATAATGTCTCATTGCCAACAGGAGTGTAAGCATTAGCCTAGCAGTAGGCCAATTACATCAACAGTTTAGGGTCAGGTGAGGATCCTGGCCATTGGAACTTTCATTTTCCCTACAAGCTACCATACTGTTTTGAATTAGGATATGTACTTTTAACTTCCTTAAGACTTGCTACCCTCATAGGAAGCAGGTTCTATTAGTTTCATCAGCATTCCCATTTTACAGATGGGAAAACTAAGGCACAAAGAGGGTAAGTAATTCCTCTAAATGGGATTTGATCCTGGATTTTCTGGGCAGGTCCATGCTCTTACGCATGCCCTCTATCGCCTCTCAAATTAGTAAAACAGAACCTTGGTTCAATTAATCTCCCTATCTGCGGACTTCCCTACTAACAGATTGCTCAAAAAACCTGATCCTGAGGATT